GGAGCTGGAACGCGTCCGCCTCGGTGCGCGGCTCCGCGCGCTCGCAGCCGGGCGCCAGGGCTGCCAGCCCCGAGGCCCCGGGCAGGGGCGCGGGCCGAGGACCCGCCTTCCGGCTTCTGCCTCGCGCAGACAAGCGCGGACGCTGACCCGCTCCGGCTGGAGGACCTCGGTGTCCCCGCCCCTGCCGCTTTCTCCTGCATCCCCTCCCTCCTCTCTGATCCCCAGGGACCCCGGGAAGGCCTCTCCGCGGGCTGCGAGGGTGACAAGGGGATGGGCGCTCAGGGCTGGCCGGAGAACTCCCTCCAGCCAGTCGCACGCACCGCACCGGGCACCCCGCGGCCCCTGCAGAGTTAATCGTGGCTCGCGCTGCTCCCTGGCACAGGCGCGCGCGTCCACATTCGCGGTCCAGATTTAAGGTGGTCGGAAGCAGATGACAAGGCCGAGGAATAAGGACCCTCTGTCCTCCCCTTTCCGCCAGCTCAAGCCGGCCTCTCCGGCCGCGCCTGTCCTTTGTCGGCTCCCCAGCGAGCCCGGGGATCGGGTCGGGAAGCGACGGCCCGGAGGTGGCTCCTCCGTCTCCGCCACCCTCCCCCGTCCCCCACACTTGCGCCCCAGCAGCGCCGCGCCGTCAGCCGCCTGCGCACCTAGCCCTAAAGGTAGGACTTGAATATCTTAATAGGGCAATAAAAAGCATGTTGACCTATATTTGAAAGGAACCCATTTCTAGCTGGTTGTACGTGCGTGGAGTTTCAGAAAGTCGAGAATGGGCTGGGAGGTTGGCCGCCCGCCCCAAGTCTCCAAGGAGGTGGGGACAGGGAGAGGAAGTCGTGTGTTTCTTTGCTTCTCTTTCCTACCCCCTCCCCCTGATATTTATTCGCTCCAAATTCTCCTGCAAGCAGGTTGAAAACTAACGCGCTGCGATGCCAGCAAGTTCTACGTCCCTCCCCCGAGGTACCGCGGCTGCAGGAGGAAGAAGCATCCTTAAAGAAATATCAATACATTCACACCCTGATGGGCACGACTGCGGACGGCGGAATCGCGATGCCAGCGCCTCTGGAGTCCCTGCCTTTTGTCGGAGCCTTCTCCTGGCTTTTCCAATTGAGGATTCTTTGGGGGGGGGGGCTAGGGTGGGGGTGACGTGGGAAAGAAGATCACAGGAGAAAGAAAACATGAAAGCTCCGGGCTGCAGTGCTCAGGGCTGTGTGTACAGCGCCCTGGAGGCCACTTGATGTTTATGGGAGGATTCCTGCTCCCTCCCTCCGTTTCCACTCCCTCCTGGAAAAGGGCAGACACCCCCAATGTGAAGGTCTCCCCAAGTTCGAAGCCAGAGCAGAGGCAGGATAGGGAAGGCCATCCCAGCAAGACTCATCAGATCAGGGCCTTAATGGACCGCATCTACCGTCCTGGCGCCCACCCACACCCTAAACTTCTCCAGCCAGACCCTTAACCTCCATTCTCTTCCAGGAAGAGGGAGAGACGCCCGGTGGGCAGGTGGCTGGGGAAGGAGCCTGTGAAATCACCTTCCTACCTGCCCAAAGAGCAAGCAGAGCGAGCCTGGGACCGCCGGGTTCCACGCAACCCCCTTGAAAGCAACACAGTCCACGCCCCGGCGCTGGGTTTCTACCTGAGTCATCAGCCGGTCCGCTCCGGTGTTTTCTTCATCCTTAAATATGATGTCGGGGTTGTAATTGGGGGTGAGTTCCTTAAACCGCTCTGAGTTTCTCGAGATCTTCCCTTCGTACCTGCCGCTGGCCCCGAGGGTCTTCTCGGCCACGTTGGGGATAAACTGCTTGTAGGCTAAAGGGGTCAGCTTTTTGGGGTGCCGCCTCTTCCCAAACCCCCTGCCGGGCCCGCAGGCCAGCCCCGAGCACATCAGCAGCGAGGAGACGAGCGCCAGCAGCAGACATCTCGCCAGCAGCAGCATCTCGTCCGCGGGAGCCGGTGCCTCCCGAGCTGGCCCGCGCGGGTCTGTGCGCGCAGGGGCGCGCGGCTGTGTGCGCTGCGCCCTCTCGAGCGCTCTGCTCTGCCTCCCTCGCTGCGGCTCGCCCGCTGCCTGCTCGCTGCCTGCCTTTCTCTTCCTATAGAACCCTGCCCGCCACGGCTGCTGCGGGGGACTCGCCACCGATCCCCACCCAGACGGGGGCTGGAATGGCAGGCTGCTGGTCGCTGATAACGGAACACATCGGAGTTGGGTCGCTAGACAGCAATCAAAAGACAAAAAGAGTCTGATTTTAAATGGTAGCGAGCCTGGAGAGCCTGTGCGAGAGGCTGCCTTTAGCTCTATATTATAGCTGGCAGGGGCGCGTCTGATTGGCCAAAGCTGCACTGGCTTGTCTTCTGATGTTAACCCTGAAGAAGACTACATGCTTCCCCCTGTTGCTGCTGTCGCTTTATTTTTACCTGAAGGCTTCGAGTTAAGGGGGAAAAATAATCTTTACTAAGATAGAGGTGGGCGGGAGGGACGAGGCGTGTTTCTTGGCATAACGTCAATTACTCCCTGCTTTGTGTACATCTCTGCGTTTCCCCCTTTACTTTTGCCAGAATGGTAGGTGCTTCAGTTAAAACCAACTTAAGTTTTTAAAGGACAGTCTAGATTCCCCGCCACCCCCAGCTTCAGTCATCAAACAAATAGTCTCTGGAATGTTTGAGGGGCAAAGCTGCCCAGCTCTTGTCTAATTCCCGCCCCCCCCCCGACTCTGTCATGCAGGCCAGGTCTCCCCACATTTTGAGGAAAGAGGACTCTGAGCCTCCTCCTGAATGTCAGCATCCTTGGACAGAGGGTACTTATGAGTGACCACAACTTAAAGCATTGCTATTGGAAATGCTGTAAGTGCCTTAGAAATACTGTAAAATACTGCCCCTTCACTGTGTTTCAATTAATGCATTATTTTAAAAACCTCTGCAGGTGGGATGGAGACATGCCCAGGGGCAGGCACAGAGTGACCCAGAGACCATCAGTGTGGTTGGGCCACGTGGGGCTTGTGCTGCACCCCAGCGAGAAGGGGCCGGGGGCTGGTGCGAGCCCCATGGGCCAAGGCCTGCGCCTGGGGGCAGCGTCAGGTGGGCAAGGCCGTGCACGCCCCACCCCCACAACTGATCCATGGAGCAAGGCGCAGGGCCAGGGAGGAGCTGAGTGTGGAATTCGGGCTCCTTGCCACAGTGTGCGGAGCTGGCCTCCTGGGGAGGTCGGCAAGCCGGTCCTCGGGAGCCGACCAGGGCCTGGGACCCTGGCAGAACAGTGTTCTGGCCCAAGAGGGACATCCTAGAAGAGGACACAGTGCCCAGAGGCTGGCACTATTTGACTCCACCATCCCCTTACTTCTTGCAGAAAAAGAAAAAATCTCAGAAAGTCCTAAACTAGAAAAATAAAATCTAAAACTCCCCTTTTTGCAGAACATGCCCTTCCTCTTCTCGCCCCTCCCCCATCGCACTCATACACAATAATTCCTCTAGAATAGGGTAAGGGAGCGAGGCTTACTCATGTGGAATGGCAATGCTGCCCCTGAGGAATAATCAGATACTGCGGATACTGCCCTGTGAAGTTAAGTGCTCTCCCTTGACCCCAGCCCGTCCAGCGCAGGTGGAGAAGCCCAGTCTGAAGCTCAGCCCTCAAACAATGGGAAGTTTCCAGCAGTGCCCTTTGCAGGTAAACTTTATTTTTTTTAAACCCCGTGGAGGAGAGGAGAGGTGCATCTTAAGCGACATCTATCATGAGTCTCAAGAGACAGCAGTATCCAGACTCAGCGGTCTGGGTCCCTCCCCGAAGGTTGACCCAGGCTCCCCTGTCTTGCTTTTCTATTCTATGATTTGTGAAGAATCAAAATTCGAGGAAGAACGCAAACCTCTGGGCAGCACCCAACTTTATCAAGGCCAAAGAACCAGAGTCTCCACTGAGCAGGAGACAGCGGAGCTCAGCTGAGCACCCCGATGTGGGCAGTTCTGCAGCATGTGTGTCCTGTGCGGTGTCACCTGCTCCAGGGAGTAACATGCAAAAAGGGATCCGACGTCCTCTACCGTGCAGGGTAGGCCTTCTTGATGCAGCTACCTGCACAGCATGTGGATGTCACATCACTGGGCAGTGCAGGCAGGACAAACGACCTGGGCCCTGTGGGACACTGGCAACCTTTTGATGGCCTTCCACAGTGGTGGCGTCTGCTCTCGTCCCTTCCCCCTCCCGTTTTTAGCTCTCCCTCTGTTACTAGGGCCGCAGCACCGGGTCACAACCCTGCAGCCTGGCTCCTGTGCGCAGACCTGCGGGAGGCGTGCGCCAGGGCAGCAGGACCCACAGCAGCAGACGGCTCCCCTCCGCCTCGCGCGGCCTGGGCGGGTGTGTTTTGGAAGCAAACGCCTGAGCTGCATGGAGCTCGTCGTGGGCACAGCTGGACTTTGGGTGCCCCCAGGAGCACTCAGCTCCTCTTTGGCAGAGGGACGCGCGCTCGCTCGGCTACCCGGGAGTTTCGCCAGGCCTTCCCTGCCCAGAGGGACGGGGTACCAGGGCCACCCCCTCCCTTCTATCGCTGGCCATCCCTGGACACCCTGGAGAGCCTGTGGTGGTGGGGGGGCCTTCCCCAGGACTGGCCTGATCCTCAAGAATAAAATAAGGATGAACCATAAAACTTGCCACTGATGCCTTGTTTTGGAGGGCTTGCTCCCTGTCGTGGGGTGGGGGGAAAAGTCTGGACAAAAAGCAACCACAGTTCGCATTTATTGTCTTAGAGACAAGGGCGCTGGGCGGAGGCACTGAGAAGCTGGGGCCTCTGTCCTCCCCGCCCCCTTCTCGGTCCTTCTTTCCTCGCGCCCACTCCCCACTTCCCAGACACCAGACACCGCTGCCTTCCACCTCCAGACACCAGATGGCTCCCTCTCTTTGCCTTTCCCCCTCCAGACAATTTGGGCCCCTCCCCATGCCAGGGAGAGGTTCCAAACCCCAGCCTTCGCCTGACAAGGCCGGACATCCTGGGTGACCCTCAGGATTCGCTTCTGATTCATCTGGGCTCTCCCTACCTGGCTGCAGCGTCCCACCCAGCCATCCCCCCGCCCGTCGCTCCTTCCTGCCCGTCTCTTGCCCCAGCCCCCAGGAGGGCCTTGCTGGGCGCTGCCCCTTCCCCGTCCCGGCCCCGCCGCTAGATGGCCTTGTCACTCTGCCTTCAGGCTCGCTGGGTCGGCTTGGGAAATTCCCGCAGTCCCAGGTTGGGAGGCCCCGGAAGGAAGCGGGGCTCCCCGGCTCATCCTCCCCTTTCCCGTCACCAGTCTCTGGGCCACCCCGACTTCCCGTCCCCAGGATTGTACCCGCTGCCCCAGCGAGCCCTGCCTGCCACGCTTCTGCAGCCTCCGCCCCTCTTCCAGTCTCTAATCTCACGTTTCCTCTTTGCTCTGTCCCTGCCCCTTTGATTTCTCTTCCTTATAGTGATTCTACACAATCTCTCCCCATCTAGTCATCCGGTTTCAATTTATTTCTGAATTTGTTCCGATTTTGGCAAACTGCATTTCTGTGGCTCCATTTGTCGTTGCGATTGCCGGCCAGGGCCCTCTCCGCATTCTGGAGGGATGCTGCCCTCTGGCGCTGTTCTGTCTCCAGGGCCCTTCCCCGATATCCCCAGGCCCGGGGTTGTGAGTCTCCAGCTCCCTGGAGATCCCCAGGTTCTGCGCAGCACAGGAAGCCCAGGAACACCCACGGCGCCCTGAATGCAGCCAGGATGCAGGTGGATGGAAGCAGCAGCTCTCCTTCTGTGCCGGCGCCCGTGGAGTGAGGGCCAGGGGTGGCCGCGGGGCCCTCTGGATGCCCTGCATCCACATCCTCATGGCACTGCAGCTGAGAGCCACTGCGGTGACCCACAGGAACTCCAGTGCCACTCCAGTGGTGGATGTGAGGAGCTGGCTCTGCTGACTGTTTATGGTGGGGCCGGGTGCTCGTAAAAGGTGCCTCTCAGCAGTGCAGTGCAGAGGGTACCGGCCCCGTGAGGGTGGCTGGCACCTGCTGCTTCCTGGCTGGGTGGCGCTCTGCAGCAGGAGTGCATTTGACCTCTCCATGGTGGTGACTCAGCCTTTATGCTTGCTGGTTTTGCTCATCAAGGCCTGAGGAGTGCAGGGAGCTGCAGACCCCAGCGGCTGTGCCTGCTTCCAGGGCACGGACCTTCTAGCTCATCTCCCTCCTGCTTCCCACGGAGCCCGCTGGGTGGGCAGCGGTGGCGGCCTCTTGCCAGGACTCCCACACCAGGTCACCTGTGCTGCATGAAGGGTACACAAACAGGGCAGCTGTTGCTTCTGGCTTTTACAGATGAGGACATTGAAATGTAGCTTCTGGGGATGTATGAAAGGTCACATGGCCAGCTGGTGAAGAGAAAGCCACGCTTTACTGAAGCAGACGTCATAAGGCAGGACATAAGCCTAAGCATGTGCACTCGGCCTGACGCGTGTGGCTTTGTGACCTCATGCCTTCATCCTGAGCAGCGGGTGTTTCTTCTGAGATCTCAATGACACCTCAGGTGTGCAGCTCCTTAGGGTTTCAAAGTGGTTTGTACTCACTGTCAGGGCACCTCAAGCTACACTGGTGACTTGGAAAGGGAAGAAATGCAGCATGGGCAGGTGGCCTTGTGCCCAAGGAGAAAGGGACACAGTTGGACCCCACACTTTGTTCTTCTGACCCCAGGCTTTTGGTTGTTTCCCACACCACAGCTGCCTGAAATTCTACCGTGACACGGCCATTCCTCCAGTCTTTGAACCAAGTTAAGATGCAGACGTCCCTGGGAAGGTTAGTGCATTAAACCTGTGAGTGTTTGAGTCACTCGTGGAGCTTTAGAAAGAAGCATCAAACGGGGCATGGGCCTTGCTCCTGAACAAGCCAATCGGAATATCTGCTTCGCCGACTTCCCCAATGGGAATCCCCAAGACCCAGGGGTGGGGATGGAAAGGGAGGTTTGGGCGCCAGTGCTGGGCTTCAGGTCTCCAGCTGGAGCCCCCACTTCAGGTACCTGCCCACCCTACTGGGATGCCTGCGTGTCTTGGGACACCTTCTGCCTGGCGCTGCCTGGTGTGGAGCTGCACACAGCAGAGACCGAAGGCTGGAAGTGTGTGTGTGTGTGGGTGAGTGAAGGTGTATTTGTGTGAGGGTGAGTGTGTCTACATGTGACCAGGAGACAGCAGTGTCTGGAGGGCGGGGATGCCTCAGGGGGACAGAGGCACAGACAGGATGGGGGCCAGAGGGATCAGAGTGGCCTGGTGCTGGGACCAGGGCCCCTCGGCAGCCCGTCTCCAGGGAATGAAGATGCGGAGCCAATTTTCACCCGCTTCCCACTCCCTCCGCTGCTGGGAAAGCCCCCCTTGCTGGCTGAGGAGGGTGGACGCGACCCTTCCGGCAGCCAGCAGAGTGCTTACATCATCTGGCAACTTCTGTGCAAACATCATCTTTTAAAAAAAGGCCACCTCTTTACAGAAGCAAAATTAATTGGGAGATTAATCAGGCAGGGGCTGGCAGTAGAGGCTGAAAGTTCCACTGGAAGAACTGGCATCGTGGGTACTGTGCTCTGGGCCTGGCACTCCCTGTAACCCCTCGGTGCCTTCCCTGCCCATGGCCATGTGCTTGGCCTCATGTTGCCCCAAAACTTCACCTGTCAGAATGCAGATTTCTGGGCCCCTTCAGGGCTGAATTTTCTAGAAGGATTGAACTTCGTGTAGGGCAGTGATTGTTTGGTACCGTGGGAAGGAGGGTTGCCATCCATGGGGACCCATGGAGACTCGGGCCGGCCCAGCCCTCTCGCCGCTGAGCCACGGTGCTCCGAAACTTCTGTGTCCTTATTTGTAAAACGCAAGTCTGAAGCCAGTGGCGCTGGTGCCAGAAGCCCTTTCAGCCCCCAATTCCATGAGTCCATGACCTCAGTCTTGGAGGAACCAAGGGAGCTCCTGCAACAGTCTCTCTTTAGAGTGAGGGAAACTGAGAACCAGATGCCCCGCTGCCCCTGCTGTGTTACAGGAAAGGCCCAGAACAGCATCCCCCGTGCGCTGCGTCTGTGGGAACGTGACCGCTCAGCCTCCTTCCCAGGAGCCGGCTCGCGTCCTGGGGCCTTTGGGTCTGCGGGTCACTTGCACCAGCCTGCCCAACCCAGGCATGAGTCCGGAGAGGCTGGCAGGGCCTGCTTGGCCAGCTGCCCAAGGGGCAGGGAAGCATCTGCCTGGGGAATTTGAGGGGCGTCGAAGGCCCGACCCCTCCCCAGCCCCTTCCGTCTAATGACTATTTGCCTTCTTTGCTTTCTTGAGAGGGGATAAAGCCCCTTCCCTCCTGACACACAAAATTAAGAGCCCACATCAGCGGCTGTGTCGTTCTGGCGGAGGGGAGCGGAAGAGGTTTAGGGAGGAGGGAGTGTCAGGGGCAGGGACAGGGACAGGGGCAGGGTGGGGGAGGGGGCCAGGTGTGTGAGAGGCGGAGAAGGGCACCCGGAGGGGAGCCGAGGGTGCTGAGCACACGCCCGGGCTTCACAACATCAGCAGAAGCTGCTCGAGCCCCAATAGTTCAACACGCGTCTTACTGTAATTTTCACGTCACCCTAATGTTTAGAAGGTTTCGACAAGAAGACCTGGCTGGGTTGCCCGTGGCTTGCTTCCTTCTCTGTGGCGGGGGGGTTGACCCCCAGAAGCACCCTCACTACGTGCGGAGGATTTCCTGATGCTGAGACAGAAGCCGTATTGTGGAGGGGGCTCTGCAGTGTCCTTGTGGGATCCCACAGGACCCCGGGAGGAGCTCGGGGCCCCGCCGGGCACTGGCCTGGCAGGACAGCAGAGGGGGAGTGTCCGATGCTGGCTGGGACAAAGGGTGAGCGCCTTGTCAGGAGGCTCCAGGCCTCTCTACCAGCAGGTGCAGAGCTTGGCAGAGGGACCCTGGCCGTCTGCATGTACTGACCATCTCACCAGAGTGCAGCACTCGCAGAAGTTCTATCTCACCTGGAACTCTGGGTCATAATCACACTTACTTATCCAGTGTCAACCACATCTTTGACTCTCGCTTGGATTACGTTTTAATTAATCTGTGCAAGCGACCCATTGTACAGGCGAGGAAACTGAGGCAAAGGGAGGTGAAATATGCAGTCTGAGATCACACACCTGATCGACAGCAGGGCCTTAAGCCAAACCCAGACAACCTGGGTTGAGAGCTTGCCCTCTGAGTCTCTCAGCTGGTGATAGTATTTCTTGAGGTTTCTGCAAGGTGCTCAGGTGTTTTGTTCGGGTGTGTCATTCTGCAAGGGAGGGTAGACAGGTAGAAAGAGGGCCCCTCCTCCAGGGTCACAGAGTAAGGAGCCATCGTCTGGACATAGGAAAAGGCAGATAAGCTGGAAAGGAGACAGCACGATACCCAGGCCAGGCAGGAAGCGTCCAGACATGCTGGGGAGACAGAGAGTTACGGGTGCCTGAGAGTCGTGCTCCATGTCCAGCTGGGCCCCGTGGCCCTCTGTGCAGTTTCGAGGCTCAGCCCACTGGACGACAGTGTCAGGCATCTGTTTAGGGTGTCCTGCTTCACACAGCACCTTCAGGCCTGTTCCCTCACTGACTGCGGGGGGCCAACCACCACCCCTCTCCCATTCTACGGGGAGTGGGGCAAGCTGCACTCCACCCTGAGGGAGGCCTCGCTGTCCACTC